CTAAACCCTAAACCCTAAACCCTAGCCTTTTGCGGACTCTTCCGGGCCTCCAGCAGCAGCCACTGCTAGAGCATCCCACGAGCTGCTTATTTGCTGCTTATGATTAATTAATTAGTTTATTTATTTTATTTATTTATTTGTTTTGCTGCTGCTGCTGCTGCTGCTGCAGATTAGGTCCTACGTAGGCCTGTGGGTTATAGTGGTGGAGTTTATCCAGTTGGTTCTTATGGGAGACTTCATCTACCACTACATCCGCTGGTAAACCCTAAACCCTAAACCCTAAACCCTAGGCTGGGGTTCGAGGGGAGGCCAAAGCCCGGCGCAGCCAGCAGCAGCAGCAGCAGATGCTGCTGCTGCTGCTGCTGCAGCACTAAAACGAGCAGCAGCAGCAGCAGCAGCAGTAGCCGCACCAGCAGCGCCAGCACCAGAAGCAGCAGCAGCTGTAGCAGCAGCAGCAGCAGCAGAAGCAGCAGCAGCAGCAGCAGCAGCAGCTTTAGTTGGTTTTTGTTTTTGCTGCAGCGTCAGCCGCGGCCTTCCTGTGCAGTTTCTGCTGAGCGAAAATGTTTAGTTTGGGGTGTACGTACACCCCAGCTACGGGCATAATGACGGGCCTGCAGCAGCAGCAGCAACAGCAGCAGCAGCAGCAACGGCAGCAGCAGCAGCAGCAGCTGCTGCTGCTGCTGCTGCTGCTAGCTAGCTGCAGCTAGCTAGCCAGCTAGCCAGCCAGCTAGCTAGCTAGCTAGCTAGCTGCGCCTTGTTAAGCTCGCTGCGGATGAGCTTCCGCTGTGAGGGCGCACTGGAGCCTTAGGCGAATGCAGAGGCAGCACCGGCTGGCTAGCCAGCTAGCCAGCTAGCCAGCTAGCTAGCTAGCTAGAAGCAGCTAGCTAGCCAGCTACCTACCTACCTAGATACGGCTAGCTAGCCAGCTAGCTGGCAAGCTTGGTACAGCTGGCTAGCAAGCTAGCTAGCTAGCTGCGTACAGCTGGCTAGCCAGCGAGCTAGCTAGCCAGCTAGCTCCGGCTAGCTAGGGACAGCTAGCTGTTGCGGCTTGCTATGTACAGCTAGCTAGCCAAAGGCACAGCTAGCTAGCTAGCTAGCTGGCTAGCTAGCTGGTTTTGGGCCGTTGTTGGGGCGCATTTTTCCCACTCAAAGAAACACAGACTAGCATAAGGAAACACCTGGATTCAATTACCTAACTGACTAGCCAGCTATCTGACTGGCTGCCTAGCTCGCTGGCTAGCTACCTAGCTATCTGGCTAGCTAGCTAGCTATCTGGCTAGCTAGCCAGCTATCTGGCTGGCTAGCTAGCCAGGCGAGGAGTTATCCAGGTATCTAGCCAGCTAGCTAGCCGGCGAGCTAGCTGCTTAATTGCCTAGCTAGTTAACTGACTGGCTAGCTGGCTAGTTGGCTAGTTAGTTAGCTAGCTAGCTAGACGCGTGGGTAACTGGGCAGTTGGCTAGCTAGCTGCCTAGCTACCTAGCTAGCTAGCTGCCTAGCTAGCTAGCTAGCTAGCTGCCTGGCTAGTTGTGTGGTTGGCTAGCTAGCTGGCTAGCTGGATGCCTACACGGCGGGCTAGCTAGCTGCGCGGCTAGCTGGCTAGCTGTGGAGTTACTGGAATAATTTATTAATTTTATTTATTTATTTATTTATTTGTTTATTTATTATTTATTTATCACTTATTTATTTATATATTTGTTTATTTACTTATTATTTCTGCGTTTCTTTTGGCCAGTCTGCGGGTACAAGTGGCTCTAGGGTTTAGCGCCAAACCCTAAACCCTAAACCCTAAACCCTAGAAAACACTGTAGCAACAAAAAAGGAATGGAAGCAAACAACAGATTCGAAGACACCGCTGCTGCTGCTGCTTCTGCTGCTTCTGCTGCTGCTGCTGCTGCTGCATGCGTCGGCCGCTTTCTAACGCTCAAGCAGCAGAGCAGCAAAATAAGAAACGCGAAATGGCAAATAAATAATTTAAAATAAAAAATAAAATAAAATAAAATAAATAAAATAATAAAATAAAATAAAAGTCCTTCTTTATTCTGTCGCTTGAGCTGTGCCTGTTGACTCCGTCACCCGCCTAAACCTTAAACCCTAAACCCTAAACCCTAAACCCTCGGCGTTGGGCTGCGAGCCCTCGGATATCCCAAAGCCTAAACCTAAACCCTATACCCTAAACCCTAGGATGTCCCTGTACACCCCAATTGACCTTCAGGCGGCTCTGGCCTCTCCGCCGCGCCCTCCAGGTGTATGTACACTCCAGCTGCTGCAGCTGCGGCTGCGGCTGCAGTCGCTGCTGCATTACTGGGGCTTTATCAAGCCTGCTGCAGCAGCAGACCCGCAGCAGCAGCAGCAGCAGCAGCAGCGGAGGAAGCGGGTGGTGGTTTGCGGGGGAGGCTGGGCAGCAGCAAGTTTTATTTCCAAGTTGGATTATTTTAAATTTGAAGTTTTGCTGCTGTCTCCTTCGCCAGTGTTTTCCTTCACTCCTTTTCTTGCTGCTGCTGCTGCTGGCTCTCTTGCTGCTGCTGCTGCGCTGCCGCTGCGGCTGCTGCTGGCAGCAGCAGCAGACCCCACAGCTCGGGGGCTTTACAGGCAGGCCGTGCTGCTGTCAGTGGACCCCAGCCGCAAGAGAGTGAAGTGTGCTGCTGCTGCTCCTGCAGCAGCAGCAGCAGCAGCAGCAGCAGCAGCAGCAGCAGACACGTGGGAAGAGCCTTATGACTACCTCGTTGTTGCTGTTGGCAGCAAAGAAAGAGACAACGGAGTCCCCGGAGTGCAGCAGCACGCGCTGCTGCTGCAGTCTGCTGCAGACGCGGCGCGGGTGCTTCAGCGGCTGCAGCAGCAGCTGGAAGCAGCAGCAGCAAACCCCACACTCACTGCAGCAGCAAAGCAGCAGCTGCTGCGCTTCGTTGTCGTGGGTGGCGGCCCCACAGGCGTCGAAGCAGCAGCAGAACTGCAGGACCGTTTGCTGCTGCTGGCTGCTGGGGTGTACAGACACCTCGCGGCCTTTGCTTCAGTCTTCCTCATCAGCAGCAGCAGCAGCTTGCTGCCCCGCAGCAGCAGCAAAGTGCAGCAAGCAGCAGCAGCAACGCTTAGCAGCAACAACGTCCATTTGCTGCTCAACTCCCACGTGCTCGCAGTGGAGCCCGGCGCCGTGCTGCTGCGCACTGCAGACCCTGCTGCTGCTGCTGCTGCTGCTGCCGCGGCAGCAGCAGCAGACACACCCAGCAGCAGCAGCAGCAGCAGCAGCAGCAGCAGCGGGGAGGTGTTTAGGATTCCTTGTGGAATGGTCCTTTGGGCGGGAGGGGTAGAGCCTGCTCCAGTGGCGACGGAAATAGCAGCAGCGCTGCAGCAGAAGCAGCTGCTGCAGCAGCAGCAGCAGCAGCTGGAGCTGCTGCAGGAGCAGCTGCAGCGTGAAGAGCAGCTCTCCTCCTCGCCCGAGCAGGAGCAGGAGCAGCAGCAGCAACAGCAGCAGGACCAGCAGCAGCAGCAGCAGCAGGCGCACCTGCAGCAGCAGCAGCAGCAGCAGCAGCAGCAGCAGCAGGGACTGCTGGTGGACGGGTCCTTTAGGGTTTTGGGGGCCCGGGACATTTTTGCTGTTGGGGATTGCTGCAGTGTATGTCCACCTCCGTTGGCAATCCACCACAAACAAATAATGCTGCTGGCCACAAAAGAAAAGGAAAACAAACAACTCATGGGTCCGCGAGGGTTTAGGGTTTAGGGTTTAGGGTTTAGGGTTTAGGGTTTGGGGTTTGGGGTTTGAAAAGGGGCTGGGGGCGGGAGGTGCACGCGGGGGTGTCTGTTTTTAAAACGCGCCACCCTCTCCAAGGGTTTGGGGTTTATGGTTTAGGGTTTGGGGTTTAGGGTTTGGGGTTTAGGGTTCAGGGTTTAGGGTTTAGGGTTTGTTTTGCAGAGGTTAGTTGGCTGTACCGGCGGCGAGGGCTTTTAGGGTTTTTATTTCCTCAAATGCCAGATGGAGAAAAAGAATTAAAAAAAAATAAAAACAAAAAACTCAACCAGCAGCAGCTGCTGCTGCTGCTGCAGGTAAGTGCTGCTGCTTCCTTTTCCCTGTTGCTGCTCCTGCTGCTGCTGCTGCTGCTGCAGGTAAGTGCTGCTGCTTCCTTTTCCCTTTTGCTGCTGCTGCTGCTGCAGGTAAATGCTGCTGCTTGCTTTTTCTTTTTGCTGCTGCTGCTGCTGCTGCACATAAAGGCTGGTGCTTCCTTTTTTTGTTTTTGCTGCTGCTGCTGCTGCTGGTAAATGCTGCTGCTTCATTTTTTCCTTTTGCTGCTGGTGCTGCAGGGAAAAGCTGCGATTTTTATTTCTTTTTTCTTTGTTATTCTTTTCTCTTTTTTTCTACCTTTGAGAATGCTGTATTTGACTCTTTTTGAGCTGAGGGTTCTAGGGTTTAGGGTTTAGGGTTTAGGGTTTAGGGTTTGCGCGCAGAGCATCGACCGCAGTTACATTCCGCCTGTCCGTACAGCTCAAAACGCAAAAGCCGAAGCTGATTTTCTCGCTAACATTTTTAATTTATATTTATCAAAAGAAAAAGAAAACATAACTGCAGCAGCAGCAGCAGCAGCAGGAGACCCAGCAGCAGCAGCAGGAGATTCGGCGGCAGCAGCAGCAGCAGACCCCGCAGCAGCAGACGCAGCAGCAGCAGCAGCAGACCCCGCAGCAGCAGACGCAGCAGCAGCAGCAGCAGGGGACGCAGCAGCAGCAGCAGCAGCAGGAGCAGCGGCTGCAGCGCCCGTACGCGGAGCAGCAGCAGAAGCAGCAGCAGCAGCAGCAGCAGCAGCAGCAACGCCGCTGCCCGTATACCGGGAGCTGCGGGGCATAAGTCTTTGCTACTTGGGGGGAAAAGTAGCAGCACTAGAACTTCCTTTTGCTGCTTTTGCAAATCACTTTTGCTGCTGCTGCAGATTTTTTGTTTATTTACTTTTGCTGCCAACAAAAAGGCAAAAGATTCAAGCCCTCGCAGACTGGTTCGGCGCGGGCTTCCTGCTGCACTAGTGCAGCAGCAACAGCAGCAGCAGCAGCAGCAGCAGCGGCAGCAGCAGCAGCAGCAGTAGCAGCAGTAGAAGCAGCTCCTGCAGCAGAGAAAGGGCTGCAGCGGGGGCTGCGGTTGCAGCAGAACAGCAGCAGCAGCAGCGGAAACAGCAGCAGCAGCAGAAACAGCAGCAGCAGCAGCAGCAGAAACAGCAGCAACAACAGCAGCAACTGCGCTACAGAAGCAGCAGCAGCAGCAGCAGCAGCAAATGGAAAGAAGACTTTATCGAATCGGGCCAAGGGAAAGGGGAATCAATAAAACCCTAAATGCTAAACCCTTTCTACTGACACAGCGTTTTACTACTCAGCGTAAACCCTAAACCCTGAATCGGGGTTTAAATACAATTAAAGTGCGCCTAAACCGTAAACCCTAAATTGGGGTTTAAATTTAGTTAAACATCTAAGCTGACGGCACAGGAGTTCTGTTCGTTTATTAATGCCTGTTGTTTATTTATTATTTATTTTATTATTTATTTATTTTATTCTTTATTTTATTTATTTTATTATTTATTTATTTTATCTAATTTATTTTATTTTATTTTATTATTTATTTATTTATTTATGCGAACAGCAGCTTCTGCTGCTGCGGCGAATTTAACTTTTTAATTTAGTCTTTAGGGTTTAGGGTTTAGGGTTTAGGGTTTACGACTTGCGGTTTAGCGTGTAGGATTTGTAGTTGCGGTTTAGGGTTTACGACCTAAGGTTTAGGGTTTGTAGCTCAGAGTTTAGGGTTTATAGTTCAGACGTTAAGTGTAAAGCTGAGGGTTTAGGGTTTATAATTAGAGTTTAGGGTTTACGATCTAGGGTTTAGGGTTTCTAATTGATGGAGTAGGCTTTAAAGTTTGGGGGTTAGGGTTTATAATCTGGGGTTTGGGACTTAGGGTTTATAATTTAGGGTTTAGGGTTTTAAATTTTGAAGGTCTAGAGCTTCTGATTTGGGTTGAGGGTTTATCCTTAGGGTTTAGGATTTATGACTCTGGGCTGAGGGTTTACAGATTAGGGTTTAGACCCTCCAAATTAGGGTTTAGGGTTTCGAAGATAGACAAAAAAGATTTAAAAGAAGTAAAACTCAAATGGCATGAAGGATTGCAGCAGAAAGCCGCAAGCCGAGCAAAGTAAAAGCAGCAGCAGCAGCTGCTGTTGCTGCTGCAGCAGCAGCTGCTGCTGCTGTTGCTGCTGCAGCAG